AAAAAAAATCACAAATTCATTATTTTGAGACCAAAATTAATAATTTACCACTTTGTCAAAACCATAACATACAGTAAAGTTCAAAACAAAAGTTTGGAATATGTTTTCATGTTTTTAAATTAAGTCTCTTCTGCTCACCAAGGCTGGATTTATTTGATCAAAAACAGTAAAAATTGCGAAATATTATTACGATTTAAAATAAAGAGTTTTCTATGTAAACCTATTTTTAAATGTAATTTATTTGTGTGATGCAAAGCTAAATTTTCCAACAGCAATTACTTGGAAACTGATACAAAAAATTAATAAAAAAATAATATTAAAAACCATTTTTATTGATCAAGGATGCTTTAAACTGATCAAAGGGACAGTAAAGACATTCATAATGTTACAGAAGATTTCTATTTCAAATAAATGCTGTTTAAACATAGATTCACCTGGAAAACAGCTATTTTAAAATTTCACAATTTTTTTTTACTGTATGATCAAATAAATGCAGCCTTGGTGAACATGAGAGACTCTTTCAAAAATATTAAAACATCTCATCTTATCCAAACTTTTGACAATTATTCCAACATCTTTGTCATGGTGTTTCTCACATGCAATATGAATGAATCAAACACAACGGTTTGTAGTATCAAAATAAAGTGATTTATTCGAGCCTCTGAATGCTAGACACTGAGATTCAGTTTAGTCCACGAAACAGATTTAAGTCAGATACACGTCAGAACATGCATGACCAACCGATCTCTCGACGTGCCAAGATCACGACGTAATTCTCAGTCTGACACAGACGATAAGGGCTTCAGGAAATCCACGGCACGCAGAAATGCCATGCTTTCCATGCATTTCATATAAACTCCCCATTAACACCCACTAGAATTGGTTTTATTGAAATAAAAAATAAACGTCCATTGCACGAACAAACGCACGAAACGGTGCAGTACGTACAGTATGAAATTAACGCCGCACCAGTCGCGGTTAAATAGCGATGGCATCGAGACGAGGCACCGATCACAGCTTAAAAGTTTACAGCAGGACTAAACGATCAGTTCCTTATCGAACCTGGTCAAACCTGAAAACGTGTCCGAATCAGACAAGATGCGATAAAGTGATGAACTAGGGTTCATTCGATGACAGAAAGCATCTCAGTTTAAAGAAAATTCACCTTTTCATCCATTTAAATCTGACGGGAGATTTTGACGGTTGTTTGGTTTCTATTTCTGCAGCGTTGTGCTGAGAAGCTCCGCCCACGCTGAATTCTCATTGGTCCAAAGATTTGACTGGCAGGTCACAGAGCAGTTTCACATTCAGCGTGGAAGGACAAAATACTTTCGTAAAGATAGTATAGCGACTGATCGTGTGGTTACGGAGCCCCGCACATGATATGTGGGGTAAAAAAAAAAACATTAAGAATCGTGGCCACATCGTACTAATTTCTTCTCTAGTTTTAATTTAGCCTTGAATTTAGAATTCCTTCCGGCGTTTTAGTAAATCGTGGTGATGTCGTACTAATTTGTTCCCTCGGTTTAAATCGCAGCCACGAATTTAGAATTCGCTCCCTCGTTTTATTAGTAATCTCTGACGTACTAATTCGTTCTCTCATTTGAATAAATTTGTGGCCACATTTACGAAAACGAGGGAACGAATTCTTAATTCGTACAAATTTCTTCCCACGTTTTAACTAAATAATGGCCACAAATTTAGAATTCGTTCCCTCGTTTTAAATAAATTGCGGCAACGAATTAAGAATTCATCTCTCGATTTAGCAAATCGTGGCGATGAAACGTTAAACTAATTATTTCCATCATTTTAATAAATTTGTGGCAACGAATTTAGAATTTGATTCGTCGTTTTAGTTAATTGTAGCCATGAAACATCGTACAAATTCCTTCCTCGTTTTAACTAAATAATGGCCACGAATTTAGAGTTCGTTCCCTTGTTTTAGTAAATCATGGCCTAGAATTGTTGTATTAATTTGTTCCCTCGTTTTAATAAAAATATGACCACAAATTAAGAAATTGTTTACTCATTTTTATAAATCGTGGCCACGTCATACTAATTTCTTCTCTAGTTTTAATTTAGCCATGAATTTAGAATTCCTTCCGGCGTTTTAGTAAATCGTGGTGACGTCATGCTAATTTGTTCTCTCAGTTTAAATCGCAGCCACGAATTTAGAATTCATTCCCTCGTTTTAAATAAATTGCGGCAACGAATTAAGAATTCATCTCTCGATTTAGCAAATCGTGGCAATGAAACTTTAAACTAATTATTTCCATCATTTTAATAAATTTGTGGCAACGAATTTAGAATTTGATCCATTGTTTTAGTTAATTGTAGCCATGAAAAATCGTACAAATTCCTTCCATCATTTTAATAGTAAACTGTGGCCACGGCGTACTAATTCGTTCTCTCATTTTAATAAATTTGTGGCCAACATTTACTAAAACGAGGGAACGAATTCTTAATTCGTACAATTTTCTTCCCTCATTTTAACTAAATAATGGCCACGAATTTAGAGTTCGTTCCCTTGTTTTAGTAAATCATGGCCAAGAATTGTTGTATTAATTTGTTTCCTCGTTTTAATAAAAATATGACCACAAATTAAGAAATTGTTTACTCGTTTTTATAAATCGTGGCCACGTCATGCTAATTTGTTCTCTCAGTTTAAATCGCAGCCACGAATTTAGAATTCATTCCCTCGTTTTAAATAAATTGCGGCAACGAATTAAGAATTCATCTCTCGATTTAGCAAATCGTGGCAATGAAACTTTAAACTAATTATTTCCATCATTTTAATAAATTTGTGGCAACGAATTTAGAATTTGATCCATTGTTTTAGTTAATTGTAGCCATGAAAAATCGTACAAATTCCTTCCATCATTTTAATAGTAAACTGTGGCCACGGCGTACTAATTCGTTCTCTCATTTTAATAAATTTGTGGCCAACATTTACTAAAACGAGGGAACGAATTCTTAATTCGTACAATTTTCTTCCCTCATTTTAACTAAATAATGGCCACGAATTTAGAGTTCGTTCCCTTGTTTTAGTAAATCATGGCCAAGAATTGTTGTATTAATTTGTTTCCTCGTTTTAATAAAAATATGACCACAAATTAAGAAATTGTTTACTCGTTTTTATAAATCGTGGCCACGTCATGCTAATTTGTTCTCTCAGTTTAAATCGCAGCCACGAATTTAGAATTCATTCCCTCGTTTTAAATAAATTGCGGCAACGAATTAAGAATTCGTTTCCTTGTTTTAGTATATCGTGGCCATGAAACGTCATACTAATTATTTCCATAATTTTTATAAATTTGTGGCCATGAATTTAGAATTTGATCCCTCGTCTTAGTTAATTGTAGCCATGAAACATCGTACAAATTCCTTCCATCGTTTGAATTAAATTGTGGCCACGTCGTAATAATTTGCTCCGTCATCTTAATTAAATCGCAGCCACGAATTAAGAAATCGTTCCCTAATTTCAATAAATCATGGCCACGAAATGTTGTACTAATTCGTTCCCTTCCTTTTAGTAAACCGGGTCCACGTCGTCATAAATTGTTCCCTCGTTTTAATTCAATCAAAACAAAGGAACGAATTAGTACAACATGGCCACGATTTACTGAAACGAGGGAACAAAATCTTAATTCATGGAAATTATTTTACTACAACAATTTAACTAACATGAGGGAACGAATAATCAATCGTGGAAATGATTTAACTAAAACGAGGGAACGAATTCTTAATCCATTGCCTCAACGTTTGTGGCGCCATATATTCGAGTTTAATGCAAAATTAGTATTTTGGACCAATGAGATTTCAAGGTGGGCGGGGCTTCCCAGCGCAACGCCACATAAAAGAAACCAAGTGATCAACAAAATAAGACAAAAATTCAGATTTGCGTGGAGGAGAGCGCTTTTATTACTTATCGTTTTATCACTTATCGTTTTATCAAATTACAAGGACTCGAGTGTGACACTGAGAACTCAAACACGGCCCAAAACGCTCGTTTCACACTTACGATACGATATTTTGAGGCCCTTATCCTCATGATTCGAGTTTCCCGCCGATCCAGCAGGCATGACGTGCACAAAATCAGAAAAAAAATAACATAAATGTAGCAAAGACTTTAGGAAAAAGATTAGATTATAAACACAAACACAGTTTGTAAAATCTGTGTGTTACGGTCTCATTTACATCTTTACATTCATTAAATGTACATCAAGTGGGGAGGATATACACCTGTCCACTTCATGTGCTGCTCAACAGCACGTCTCTGACCATCTCTAGCGGACGTTTCCTCTAGTTTGGTTTTCAACATTTGGATTCTGTTCCCGGTGAAGCCGCGGGTCTCAGTCGACCGGAAGAAACGAGTTCAGTCACAATCGGCAGCCGCTGAGATGCGCTAAAGGCTTTAGCTGCACGATCCTGCGTCCGGATTCACCGAGAGCTATTTCCGTAAATCAAGAACATAGACCTGGAAAAACAACACAATGTTTAAACCGGGTTATTATCATTAACTAAAAAGATTTTTGTTAATTGAAATAAAGCTGAAAATTTGAAAAAGAAAAAAAAATTTGTAAAATATTTTTTTTTTACTAACTGGAAAATAACTACTAATAAACTGACTTAAAACGAGGTAAAAAAAAAAAAAAACTAAAATAAACCTTAATATCAGATGAAAAAAAAAAAAACATTTGAAATGTTGCCTTGACCTGAAATAACCTTTTAGTAACTTTTTTACTAACTGGAAAATAAAAAAAAACTAAGACTGAATTAAAACAAAGTAAAAAAAATTAATAAAAATAACCCTTAAATATTAGAAATAAACCTAAATATTACATGAAAAACTTACTAAAAGAAAATTAAACTAAATTATTATCATTAACTAAAAATATTTTTGTTCATTGAAATAATGCTGAAAATTAGAAATGCAACTTAAGTAAAATAATTTTTAAACTAACTGGAAAATAAATACTGATAAACTGAATTAAAACAAAGTAAAAAAAAAAAAAAAAACAAATACCTTAAAAATAAAAAAAAAAAAAAAAAAAACCTTGGAAAATCAATAAAAACTAAAACTGAATTAAAAAAAAGATTTATTTTATAATAAAAAAAATATATATATAAAAAATTAATATTTATTTTATAATAAAATTTAAAAAATAACCCTTAAATCATAGAAATAAACCTTAATGTTAGATGAAACACTTGAATTTAAAATTTTGCCTTGGCAACTAACTGAAATAATTTTATTTGGTTTAAGTTGAAGCACAAAAATTACTAACTGGAAATAAATAAAAACAAACTAAAAGTCAAATAAATAATAAACAAACTTAAATAAACCTAAAAATTAGATGAAAAACATACTAAATGAAAATGTATGTAAAATAACTGAAATAAGTTTAAGTTGAATGATTAAAATGATTAATTAAAAAATAAAGCTCAATTAAAACAAAGTGAAATAAAAATAAATGAATCCCAAATAACCTAAACCTAAAAATTACACCAAAAACCAATAAAAATGACAACAGCACATAATTACTCAAATTAAACCAAAATTAAAATGAACACTGAAATATAAAAATGAAACTAATTTAAAATAATAATAAAAAGTATAATAGTTTATAAATACTAAACTACTAAATAATTTAATGAATATAATTTATTTTGTATTTTTATGTGAAAATTGTTTTAAAGAAATAGTAACTCTAAAATTTAAAATTAAATTACATTTCTTGTCGTTTTGTCTAAAATCAATTATATTAAAAATATTTTAAATATTATAAATATTTTATATATAAAAAAAATAAAAATCGATTATTGAAGTAGAAAAAAATAATAAAATAATAATATAATTAAAAAAGTGAATCTTATATCAAATTTTCAGTGTATAAATACTAAATCAGATATTTCAGTTTTAGTTTTTATTGATCATATATGATTTATTTAACTTTTAAGTCCAAAGTTTGTACACGCGTGACTGAATGCGTTTCTTAAAAACCTTGAGATTAGTTTTCGAAAATTGTAAATTGTGCTTCCACTGTAATATACTTTAAAATCAAAGTTTCAGTGAAAGTTTCAGGAGTTTTAACAGGAAGATGAACGCACCGATCCGTCAGACGCACTCGCTCCTACTTTATCTCCCACACTGTTCCAGCAAACCTCAAAGATTCCTCCGGTTCCTCTGTAGCTGTTCACCAGCGCGCCGCTCTGAAGACAAACACATAGCATCGTCATCATCATCTTCATCACAGCTGTAGCGCTAGCGCTGCTGTACTGACCAGCGTGTCCCAGACGTGAACGCATCTGTCGAAGGAGCCGCTGGCGAGGAGCTTCCCGTCCGGACTGAAGGCCACGCTGTAGACCGGCTCCTGGTGTTTAGTGAGCGTGTGGACGCAAACGCCTCGCTCCACATCCCATAATCGCACCGTCGAGTCGAAAGAGGCACTGAGGAGCATAAATTCTGTAGCCCTGTGTTGATATCGAGCATTTCTGCATTTGTTTAGATCAGGGTTTTTCAATATTTTAGATCCCACGGAGCCGGACTTGAAGCGAGGGACTGCCATCATAAAATATAAACAGCATCAATACGGCTTCTTGCCTGAAAAATGTATATTATAAATATGCCTAAATTATTATTTGGAAAATATTTTAATTTCATCCGTTAAGTTAAATTATTATATATTTTTTCTACTCACTATAGTACTGCATAGTTAATGTATCTTTTTTTTTATTATTATTATTATAATATGATTTTTATTACAATAATTTTTAAATGTATTTTAATCTAATTTATTATTATCTGTTTTTCTATTTATTTAATCTAATTTCATTATACATTATTTATATATTTATTTTAATCTAATTTATTTTCATCTTTTAAATTTGTTTTAATCTAATTTAATATATTTAATCTAATTGTTATTTATTTTCCCTAATTTTTTATTAATTTATTTAATTTAATCCAATTTATTTTAGTCCTTTTGAAATGAATTTGTATCTAATTTATTATGTTTTTCTATTTATTTAATCTAATTTCATTATACATTATATATATATATTTATTTTAATCTAATTTATTTTCATCTTTTAAATTTGTTTTAATCTAATTTAATATAATCTAATTTTGTATGTGCTTATTTTAATCTAATTGTTATTTATTTTTCCTAATTTTTTTATTTTAATCTAATTAATTGTAGTCCTTTTAAAATTAATCTAATCTAATTTATTTGAATCTAATGGTTATTATGATTCTTTTTTTATTAATTGATTTAATCATTTTGATTTTATTTTAAAATATTTCATGTTTTATTTATTTTTACCTATATGTTATTTATTTACTTTATTTTAATATTTTTTTAATTTATTTTGTATTTATGTCTAATTTGTCAAATTTTTTATTAATTTTAATCTGACGTATTTTAATCATTTTAAAATGCATTTCAATCTAATCTAATATATTGAATCTCATTTTTATTCATTTATTTATTTTGTCTTAATTTATTTATTTTTATCTAATTTATTCGAGGCCGTTAGCAGTTAGCTCTCCCGGTGAGCAGGTGGATGGGACGTTACCTGGCTAGCAGGATGCTAGCATTAGGATTGTTGCTCCCGGCGCCTGTTGGGCTCCATTTGATCGTGTAGATCTCCTTGTTGTGCGCCTGAAGATTGTGAACGCATGAATCGTGCGTCATACTCCAGATCTGCCGTGAGAGAAATACACCAGCAATGTCTAAACTCATCATATTTAATATACATGATGCATATGAAACCATATATTGGGACGTAACCCCTACCTTTAGCGTCATGTCGTCTGAACAGGAAGCCAGCAGCGTTCCCGACGGATCCCATTTAATGGCGTTCACCTCATTCTGCAAGCAAACAAACGTGTTTATCTGCTATTCAAGCACAAGAAAGCCCGTGTGTTAGCGTGTGCTGCTCACCGTGTGCCCTTGAAAGGTCTTGAGCGGACGCTCACTTCCCAGGCGGCACACATGGATGCACATATCAGTGCTGCAGGAGGCGAAGGTGCTGTTGTTCTGCCAGTCCACGTCCAGCGCCGGAGCTGCGAGAGTTAATAAACACCACATCAACTTCACCTTTTCATCTGATTAAACTATCCTCAGACACTTCACTACAACCCGCCAAAATAAAGCAATAAGCCCCAAGAAGCCGTGGTTTAGCTGTTATAAATTCACTGTTTATTGCTTTTATAAAACTGTTATTCCATATACGTAGTAAGGTAACAGAGCAAATAAAGTGTAATGATATTAATAAAAACAGTATTCTTCCACCAAACAATGTAGCTCCTCAGAAACAGTTGTGGTTGCAACAAAGTGGTTGCCGAGCAACACACAAACGTAAACAAAGGTGTATGTTACTTTGTAGAGTAATGTAACGCGACTCAGCCAATCAGAATCAAGGACCGGAACTCTCCGTTTTATAATAAAAGAATTATATTACTATTGTACTTATCAAAGGAATACTACACTATTGGTACTATTAAAACTTTATTTTTTTTAAGGAATATCACACAGTTTTCATCCATGTTTTAATTTTAACAGTAAACCACAGCACTTTGTGTTTGCCATGAAATAAAAGGAACGGTTAAAGATGAATTAAATTGTTAATGTTGTATGCCTTCCTTTAAATCGCCATCGTTTTTGATAATAAATCTGTATTATATCCCAAAAAAGTTGAAACGGATGATGACAGAATTTCAGTTTTTTTTTAAATGTCAATAAATTGTTAGTTTTATGAATTCAATTGATTAGACATTGTTTTTGATTATTATTATAATTACTATTAATATTATAAATATGTCTAAATTATTATTTGGTAAATATTTCCAAATATGAAATTATTATATTTCTTTCTACTCACTACTATTAATTAATATTATTATTAACTACTTAATCTAATTTGCATTTAAGTAATTTACATTCGTTTTAATCTAATTTATTACATTTAATTAAAATTATTTGAATCTAAAATATATGAATAAAAAGAATTAAATGAATTATAAAAATTATAAAAAATATATATTATTTAATTAAAATAGATTTAAACAAACCAAAAGTAAATAAAACCATTCCAATGGAATCCAGAAAAATTAAAACCGAAAGAGAGAGAGAGAAAAAAAAAAACAGATTTTGGGAATAAAACTAAATCGATTTTGTAGGCCTGCTTTTTAATAACTAAAAATGCATTTAACCATTAAAACTGAACCCAGAAAACTAACAAAAAAACAAAACATAAAATCCAAAAAAAAACAGACATAAATGAATTTGGGAAAAAATTAAATGGAATCTAGGAAAAATACAAATAAATAAAACGTATCCACAGGCCCTACATCCGGCTTTATAAATCTGAAAACAAATGCAAAACCTGGCACGTGTGTATTTTCATGAATACTTTCATCTGGAACGCAGATCTTCACATTAAAGCTCCTGCAGGCTGCAAACTCACCAGAATGAAAGGGGAACTGCTGCTTGGCTTCACCTGTATGAGCGTCCCAGATGATCGTCGTCTGCAGGAAGACGAAAGAGAAATAAAGGAACGATCACAGCGATTACATGAACTGTTGCTTCGGATAAAAGCCTAATAATGAGGGTTTAGATCCTGACCTTATCGACTCCAGCGCTCAGGATGCTGTTGCCTTTCTTGTTCCACTTGAGTGCAAATATGGGTCCTTTATGCTGGCCGAGTGTGCTGCTGAGATCACCTGTTCAACAGCAGCTGGTTTCATTAAAGCACACGCTCTACAAATCTGATCAGAGCTCAGCGTTAGAGAAACCAGCTAACCTACCATCTTTTGTCCATATTCTTGCAAATCCGTCATAAGATCCGGTTGCTAATAGAGTGCCGTCGCTCTACAGACAAAAACATAACGAACTGTTTTGTGAAAATAATTTATTTACCAATAAATTTCCATGACTTTTCCAGGTTTTTCATGACTGTACGAACCCTGAAATAAGCCACACACTCACCATGCTTTTCCTTAACATTGTATCCAGGGTCCAAAATTAATTTGCAAAGCACCAAATGAGAGTAAATAAGTGCTATTAAATAGTACTATAATAGAGTTAGTTAGTAAGATACATGGTTTAAAACTCAATGCAAAAACAATCATCTGATCATCATTCTTATAAGATGAGAGATAGGAATACGATATTTTAAGGAAATCATGGAAAAAAAATAAACATTTAGTTTCATAGGCAACAAAAATATTTTGGCCAGTTAATTCTTAATTTAACTACTGTTAGCTGATATCAGTTTATTAATTTTGTATATATATATATATAT